GGAAGAGAAGGAGAGTCCCTGTGAGCGCGTGGTGAGAAAGAAAGGAGAGACCGGAAAAGAAGGGGAGGGGGGCATGAAGGGGCGTCAGGTCATACAGGCGCTCTCCGGTTTCGTGCGTGACTAAGCCGGCAGCTGGAATAACCTGTCTAGCATAAATTACAATACAGCCGGGGAGGGGAGGAGAGGAGAGGCTATGGACAAGCCACCAGTGCTAGTTCTCTTTCAAACACACTAGCACACACGCACTGAGAGTCACACTCGCTGCCGTAAATAATCTCTCTCACCTATGCCAGCCGACCCCCCCCCCCCCCCCCTATTTTCTCCGATAACGCTGGCGGAGCTTCTCAAAATGTCGGGGTGTCGAGTGTTTACAACAGGACACAGTGGCGTCTCCGCTATTTTCAGCACAAACTATGACGTGTGATCGTCATGGAATCATGGCCAACTCCACACCTAATTACCACACGTATACGCACACAGGATAACTGGTACCTTTATTGTCAAATATACAAGAAAAAATGTGGCGATGTCACTCAAAAAGGCCAGGCTTTTGCTCACACTTTCAGCAGTCAGTATTTTAAAAACTTGTAACAGCATTTGATTTTTTTTTTTTTACTTTCCCTCCCGTCTCACACTTAGCTACTAGGTGTCCATTTACTACTATAAATTGATGTCGAAGCCTAATTGCTTCAGACCAATCGATTGGGGTGGGTATTTCCCCCCCCCCCCCCCCCCAAGTTTTAAAAAATCGGATGGGGGGAGACAATGTTATGTATTGTGGTTTTGAAATGTTCTTGAAAATGATATGCGGCAATTTTAGTGGCTTTATATGTGATCTGCATTTTAAAAACCTGCAGTTTGACCCCCATAGCAATGCATCTGTGTACGGGAGTGAAAGTAAAAAATTACCCTGCATTTGGTCACATGATATGGAAAAGGACGTGTGGATATTTATCTTAACATTGACATAATATTCAAGTGATCTCAACTTTCAGTTTTTAAATGTCTGGAAACAGAGAAGTCTGATTACCCGAAGAAAGAAAAGAACAAACAGGAAGAAGAAAAAAAAGAGTAGAAACTACTTCTGGATGGGTACTCACGTGCTGTGTGGCTAGGCGTGTGAGTGACTCGGCAAAGTGCTGGTCCACGGCAGCCACAGTGTCCACAGACTCCTTCAGGATCCGCTCCTGGTTCTGTTTGTGTTCCCACTCTTGTCTCTCTTTCTCCTGCCTTTCCCGCTCTTGTCTCTCTCGTTCCTGTCTCTCTCGCTCCTGCCTTTCACGCTCTGCTTTTTCACGTTCAGCTTTCTCTTTCTCCAGACGTTCCCTGAGATAGGCATGAAAGAACAGGACAAGTATTGAAACTCTCTATTAATTAAAAATGTACGTTTTTAAACATGGGAGGGGGAGGGTGGCGGCAAACAAAACAAGACCTTCTAGAGAAGACAGCGCAGAAACCAAGACCAAGATCTAATCATGTCATCTGTAAAAACTTTACAACTAGCCTATTAAATCCCACTGAATTAAAACACGTAGCAATCCTAAAGAAACAAGAAACAAACCACCCGCAAAGTTCTGATTAAAGATAGAACAATCGAACCTTTTCTTAAAAACACTGGGTCCTCCCTACAAGTAAACAGATTATCGGTGAAAGGTGGGGGGGGGGGTGCGCACATACACACATAACGCAAAACAAACACCCAAAAGGAACATTGCTGTCAGTGCAAAAAACAAATACACTTTTATAAAACTGACGGCTATTACAGAAATTTGATCAAATACACCAACTTAACTACTTCCTGATACACATAGATCTACATAAAGCTCAGCAACGTTCGCATTTTTACCTCTGTTTACATCTAAACAAACGTACTCTCAAACCATCACTTACTAAAATACATATACAGCACGGCTACAAATCACGTCGTTGTATTTCAAATGGAAAGTGTTAATGCCAACGTAACAACAATAGCCATCATGAATCACTTCACACAAGACATCAAATAAAGCAACACAACACGGCCCACTCGTACTAGGAACAATATGCGACTTGGAAAAGAGTGACGTGTCATTCGCTTAGAAAAACTCCAACAATCCCACAATCAGGAAACATCTCGTAAGAAAGCCAGTCCCGCGTGCTGGGGGGGGGGGGGGGGGGGGGGGCCCTGTCCGTGTACACAACAGCCAGCACAGACAACACACCGAGTCGTGTGTTACCGTTCCGACTCCCTCGCGACCAGCGTGTCACTGTGACAACGACCGACGGCCTCGTTTCTCGAGGTTGAGATAAAAAAAAAAAATCTAGACTTAGAACGCAGTGCGAAAGCGAAGCGCAGGTGATAACACGGCAATATGGCGCCGTCGTGCTAACTGTCACGTCGCCACATACACAGCATACGCTAGACACGATAGCTTCGAAGAAAGCTCTGTGCTACAGCAGCACTGAGCACACCATCTGGATAGAATAATATGGTGACTTAGTTCCACTAGTCAATAAATTGAGAAGGGGACTCCCTTTTAAACTGGGCCAGCAGGCGAAAACGATATTTGAGAGAGTAGTCGTGTGTGTGTGAAAGCGGGTGGGCAAGAGGGCGTATGTACGCTAGTTCAAACTTTGGCCACTCGGAATTGTTTCCATTTTTTTTAATAGTCTTTTTTTAAGGCAACATACTGACACAGCAAAAATTAAAACTTATAAAGTACATGTACTGGGAACATGAAAGGTAAAATTACGAGAGGAAAAATATAACTACAAAAAAGACAACAACATAACAACAAGCAAAAACAACCAGTATTTTTCATTTGAGCGCGCATGCTTCATTTCTAAAAATGACATTTAGTATCTGTCCAGGTAACAGCTGCAGGCTATCCCTGTCACTATCCCTTTCATTTCTCTTAAAAAGGAATGAGCGCAACACCTGGAAACCTCTCCCTCTTTCGACTAACACAAACACAAAGCACACATAGACAACACACACACACGGAGTTAATTCAGACTGACGTCAAACATTTGATGAAGCCAGAGACATTTGAACAGTAATATACACTAAAAGTGGGAGCGGACCTGTCATCCTGTTTACATTCCGATACTGAATTTCATTTAGTTCCATCAGGCAACACGGGCGAACACAAACTAATGACAACAACTTTTCATGAACGGCACAACATATTTCTCTCTATCAATTGACGCTAAACACCAGATGTAATAATTTTTTTTTTTAATACATAGGTGGTATAAAGTAAGAAAATGGTGGGTCTACCCTTACACCTCTTTTCTTCTTTCGAAGGAGTAAGTATATAAACTAAGCAAATCAAATGATGTTTCGTACTGAAAAGCTGTCTTTACGTTAAATTCAAGTCTCCGTGGTCCCGCCTCACCCCCTCCTCGTGAGCATTATTTCTGCCAAGGAACATTTCGTATAAGTAAGGAAATAAAATGAGGCAAATCTAAATATGGACATTATAAAAATTATAGGACAAGTAAACACAATCCTGCAATGTCAGTCACGTGCAGATAGTGAGAAACTCTGTTCAAGTGATACTTTAGTTCCTTGCGACCTTGACTACTATGCGCACTTGAAACAACTAGCAACTTTATCGGTGATCCCTACGTACACCAATAAAGAAGCACACAATAAACAAATTAAAACAAACGTTTGGTCTGCAGTTCGAAAGAGGGTCAAGTTGTAGTTTACACGGTGCCAACAAGATAACAGCCATATTTGATCAGGGACACACATAAGAACAACACACTAACACTTGACAATACAAAAAGCGACCACACAGGTCTACTACCCCCATAAAATATGTCTGAGTGTGCAGGTAGGTTTTTTTTAAAATCCCACAGATATTACCAGTAGTAGAAATATGTGCCTAAACCATAACACATTTGAATGGAGAGTCCAAAGAGTGCAAAATACCCATGAAATGGCGAAACCAGACAAGTCATTCCCCTATAATTACAAAGTTCTATTGCTCAGTACCTACCTTCGAGAAATTTGACGATGAAACACGCCATGTCAACTTTTAAAAATGCAATTCTCTGTATATTTTGACAATGACTCCGAATAGTCTTATAATTTTGAAAATACAGATGGGACATTTGGTTTCTGACCTCATGGTCATAGTAACTCAAAACGGCCAAAAAAATGTCAAATACAGCTTTGTAATTCTAAGGTTGGGAAGAGTTAAAACAACAACAACAGAAAGAAACCTTATTTCAAATGTTAATTTTAAAAAACGTCTCTCACCGCTCAATCATCTCTTTCCGTTCCTTCTCTCGTCTCTCCTGTTCTAGACGATCCCGCTCCCTCCTCTCCTGCTCCAACCTCTCCCTCTCCCTCCTCTCCTGTTCTATGTGCAGTTGCATCTGCTCCCTGTGCATGGCGGCTAAGTCGCCAGCCAGAAGGCTCTCCTGGCTCTTCTGCGCCCAGGGCTGGGCCAGTGGGGCGGTGGGCAGTTTTCGTTGCCAGATGGCTTCGAACGTAGCTGTCGGGTAATTCATGAGCTGCTGGTGTATGGCGGCCAGATGCTGTTGCTGGGCGCGTACAGCCGCCATGGTCTCCAGCGAGTAGCCATGCGGTAGTGTGAGGTGAGGGGACATGGAGGGAGGCAGCTGAGGGTTGCTCGTGTAGGCCAAGGTGCTGGGGAGGCTGCTGAGCAGGCTACGAGCAGGCAGTTGTGGGGGCACTCCGGGGACACCGGAGAAAGCAGCGGCAGCGGCGGCGGCGGCGGCGGTCTGTGAGGGGGTAGAGGCGCCGGGCACCGCGGGCGGCACCGACGGGAAAGAGGATTGGTTCATCTTGTGCTGGGCCGTTAGAATGTTCGGTACATTACTCTGAACGGGGTTCTTGCGCATCAGCTCGGGATCACGATAGGGGTTCACCGCCTCATAACGGTCCACAATAAGGGGACTGGAACCTGGGCTGCTCCGCGAACTGCGGATGTCGTCTAGGCGAGAGCCGGGCCGCTTGTCCTCTGTGATATGAGGAGGAAGCTGCCCGTCACTGGCTCTAGAGTCGGCGCGGTCCTCAGTGGCTGGCGTGGTAGTATTGCTGCGGGCCACGCTAGACTGGACACACGTGAAGGCGCTGTGGCGCTCGGAGATGAAGTCAGCCTTGGACAGACTCGGACTCGACTCGTTCAAGTGATAGGCTGAATAACAAGGGGAAGACTTCACACGGTCTATTAGAACTGGAGGTTCAGAGCCCGGGGGTTTTCCATCTCCGTTCACAGAAAATTGCTCAAAAGTTTTAGTCCTTTTTGCTAGTTGTTCCGTCAGTGAACGATTCACATCAATACCTTCTGACACGGAACCAGTTTGTGTATTGGGCGATGGGCTGATATTCCTTCTAGCCCTCAGAATTTGCTTTTTAAAGTTCATGTCCTCGTTGCCTTGTTCTGGATGCACTACACTTACACTATTGCTACTGGCCTCACTCACACCAACACATTTCTTGTCTTCCCTGCCAGTTCCAAGAAATCTGTCGGCAATTTTGGGCTTCACGCTACCAGCAGTTGTAAGTTTGGAGGGTGTGTGACTTTGGTGATCATGTTTGCTGCCTCTAGCGCTCTGGCTGTGCCCAGGCGGGCAAGAACTAGGGCTCAGCACAGACACGGGCCCATCACCTGCTTTGCTCACCACTGGACCGGGAGCACTGATAGTGGGTGTTACTGGACTACTACTACTGACAGTTGCCTCAGGCTTGCTGCCATCCTCACAGGCAGCAGCAGCAGCAGCAACAGAAACAACACTGGCCTCCGACGCAGGAGCCGGGCTCGCACTGAGTTTCTCACCACTAACCTCGACTTTCACACTTTCCGGTGGCGCGACCTCCGGCTCTCCACTTTTTACCTCGGCCGCACCACTTGTCTCAGACTGGGAGACACTTTCTTTTGAGCTGACCTCCTCACACACAGGTGGAGTATCCGGTGACTGGGGATCTTCCGCCTTCCCTGTAGCTGTGGGCTCGGTATTTTGTTCTTCGAGTTTCTTTTCGCTACTTGGCGGGGGCGGTTTCCTGCTCTGTCGTGCCTTCTCTCGAAGCCGAGGAACTTTCTCCTTAGTCACTGAAGATCTCTGTGGCTCTTCCTCAATGCGCTTCACCAACACATTACACGTCTGTTTGCAGACGGGAGGATTCAAGTCCAAATTCTCTTCACTCTCAGATTTTTTGAGTTTCTTTCCAGCGGGAGGCGGTGCCTTACTGCGAGATGATTTTGCTGCAGGCTCAGGCCTGCGCTTGGCCGCTGCTGGTTTTTGGTTCTTGGTAGGACTCGCACCTGTAGATGGGGAAAAGGCAAAAAACTGTTTTAAAAAAATGGAAAACAAAACAAAAACATATGACGATGATGACAATGATGGTGACAATAAAAATAAACTAGAAAGCCGATAACAAACCTCTTGGCACTGAATGGAAACGTTCAAACAGAAGATGGGAAGTTAAGTGCAGAAAGACATCAGCATGAATTGCATAACATTAACAAATTTACCTTTGTTAGTTTGAGTAAAGAGAGAAGGAGAAGGAGATGGGAAAGAAATGTTTAGCTTTAATAAACATTTTACGATGGATTGGACACACTTTCAAGAAGGTAAGCAGCTGCGCATAACAAGAAGAATGTTAGATTGGAACCCACAGGGTAAAAGACCATGTGGGACCCGGAGAAGAGTCACGGAAATGGAGGTACAGAAAAGTGGGAAGACATGTAGTGACATCAAGCGACTAGCCCAGGATAGGGAAAGGTGGACAGTGTTTGTTCGTGGCCTATATCCTGATCCAGAGTAAGAAAGGCAATGATGATGAAGCGCTTTACGGCGCTTGCAACACAATCAAGATAAGTATGAGTCGAAGACTAGAGCTGTTATAAGAAAGTAACAAACACACACACACACAAAGACAGATAAGGACGACAGATGCTTTTTATAGGAAAAAAGGAGCAAACCACACCAAAGCACACATCAACCACCTGTACGGAGAGAAGTGGAATGGGACAGACAGACAAACAGACAGACAGACAGACAGACAGACAGACAGACAGACAGACAGACAGACAGAGAGAGAGAGAGAGAGAGAGAGAGG